ATCTGGGATTTAATTCTCTCTTATAATATATGGGTCTATTAACAAATGAGCTTTCTATAAATTGCTTTTATACAAAAAAATAATTTCAGGGTTACTTTCTTTCTTTTTTTCATGAAAATGTAAGGCTCTAAGTTAAAAGATTTTATGAGTTATTTTCAACAAGTAACAAAATATATAAAAGATATTAAGGATATGGTTTTTTCAAAATAAATAAAGGGTTAAAAGAATACTTTTAGATAAAGAGGAGGATAAAGACCAGCTCCCCAGAGGATGTGAAATAAATTGTCACAAAGATACAGAGTAAATTGTCATAAAATGATAAAGCTTATAGATGGTATATAACTGGTTAAAGTTAACTGAAATCCAGTTACATTAAAGGTTTTATAACTTCAAAATTTAATGTACTGATGTTAAACTAAAACTTAAGTCTCTAAGCTCATAACAACCAGGCTACCTTAAAAATATTATATTGGTCTAGATAACATTTACAAAAAATTGTCTTATAATGGTTTTTGTTTTGTCAAGATAACTCAGAAATTTTTGATACTACAGGTTAATCCATAAATTTGTCAAGATAACAAGAGTTTATTAAAACAGAGACAAGAGGCAGCTGAACACAGGGAGTACTGCTGCACTGATGTGAGGGTTAAGACAGATTTACTTATGTAAAGCCAAAGTGCACCCTCCAGATAGGATAAAAGTAAGTAAATAAATAAATAAAAACTCCAAAAGGAGCACTACACTGGAAGTCAAGATCTCCAGTTTTTATTAGACATAAAAGAGTAGAGGTGTTAGTCCTACTCCTTCCACATGGCAGGTGGAGGGAATTTTTCCCTGAGATGACCAGATTGGGCCTGTTATTTTAGGGGGCTCCATTGAATGCAGGTTGATGGGATCCTGCTATATGTCAAGAGCCATCTGTTAATGTCAACAATCTGGGATATGATTTCTTATCAACATCTGAGCCATGATTCTTGGCCACTATGATTCCTAACTCCACACTTAGTCTCCATAAATATTTACCTGTGTTCTCTGGTGATTTCATCAAGGTTTAACTACTAAGGTAACTGAGTCATGTTCATTTAAGAGTTGGTTTATGTTGGGGTTAACAATGAGGACAGCCATGTTAGGACTAGACCCTCCACCTTGCAGATGGCTCACCTTTGTCATCCTGGATATATGCCAGGGACAGCTGGGCAGACAGTGACCTTCCTGGTACTTTTCCACTAGCCCCCTATGTCTAGCCCAAAAGTCTGTATATGGCAATGAGCTCTTGCTCTCTTGCTGGGGTCCCCCTCCACAGGGCTCCTGCCTAAATAATAAACCCTGTACCAGTGTTTCAGCTGTCTCTGTGCCTATTCCATGCCTCTTATTTTCTAACAGTTATGTAAAACTTTCTAGATGACCTCATGGTTAAACAACTATTGTCTTGGATGATTCTAACACAGTTTGTTCCCTAGGTTAGTTTGTGACTGGGCTGTTTGGGTTTACTAAAATTGTTCTTTCCCCTACAACTGATAAAAAATCTAAAGTTTTACTTCAAGAGCAACAACTAAATTAATATGTGTATTAACCTCTATAGAATTGTGATGCTGTTGCTGGTTCCTGTGTATTAAATATATTTGTATTTTTCAAGTATATCAAGCCTTCTACAATACAAAATTTAGATAAACATGGTAACAAAAAATTAGTGGTACTGATGTACTGTTCTGTTAGTTGCTAAATTGTACATCAAAATTTTAACCATGGCTCTTTTGAGTTTTTGTCATTTCAGTCTGATCCTCCTGGGACATTTAGAATCAAGTCCATAAAAATGACTCTAATAAGTGCTTATGTGTCAACCAAGCTAACTATTTAGACATCTGCTTTTGTTAGATTTGGTTTTGTGTTGTCCTTATCTAAAAGACCACTGCCTAAGAGCTGTTCCTTCTAAGCCTCTTTGTTGCTTAAATTTGGCCAAAAGGGTCTAATTGGCACTGACTCCCACATGATCTTCTCATTATTCCCTCCAACGTGGGACTGAAACCAAACAAACAGAATCCAGGAAAAAAACCAGCCAATCAAGAAACATCTTCAGTCTACAGCCATACCACCCTAAACACGCCCAATGTCGTCTGATCTTGGAAGCTAAACAGGGTCAGGCCTGGTTAGTACTTGGATGGAAGACAGATCTTCAGAAGAGACTGCTCAGAGACTAACAATTTGTAGACAAAGGGGGGAATGCCATCAAAGTTCCAATGGAGTCATTGGTGCCAGACCTCTCAAAGATAACCAAGGCTGAGAGGATTAAAGAAATGGTTCTTATGCATGTGTGGCTATCTGACATTAAAGCTTTTCCAGACACAAACTCACATTTTTAGACAGGGTCTTCTACTAAAATAGAGACAAAATAACTTTTTTTACTGGATCTAAACATGTCCTTTAATACTTAAAGATGGTGTTTTTAACCTTTTAAAAAAATAAGTTTTCTTAGACATATATACTGACAGTATATTATTGCCAAGGTAATTCTACTCAGTTTAAAAAAAAAGAGAGAGATGATACATAAAAGATTAAAAAGAACTACTCCAACCCAGTTGGACGGGTCCCCATCTAGTAATGTTAGCAGCTCTTATGGCTGTTGAAGTTACAGGTGTCACTCCCGGGACTCATCACTCCTGGATAAAAGGACAGCTGCCCCTGCAGAGCCCAGCGTCTGACAGGCTGTCTGTGACTCAACTAACCCCCCTGAGATTAAGGTTCCAGAGAACTTCACAACAGCATGCCATCACTGGAGAGATCTCCAGCCCTGCCCCAGCCACATCCTAGAAGCTGGTTGGTCAATGCATGGCAGAAGCCTGAGGATTCATTCACCAGGACACAAATGTATCCTCTTTTCTGTCACCCATACCTTATCCTGCTGATTAGCATTATGCAATCTGTTTGCACTAGGACTGGCTGTCACTGCTCCCCAAGTTTGGAATGTAGGCCAGAGACTACTGCTGGCCTTCTGTTATCTCCTCATAGTAGGAAGCCTTACTGCTGTTTGGTGTTGTCTGTAGCCCAGACCCCAGTCTCAGGCATGAGGTCTCTGATGTGTTATTGCCTTCTGACTCTGCTACATTTTGAGGTTGTCCAATTGGGAGGCTGGGATGACTGCTCAGCCTGCGTAAAGCTGCTTTCCTTCCAGGGAAAACTGAGGTATGCCTTCACCTTTTATCAGTATCTGTTACTCATGTGTAGCATATCAATCTCTGAATGCACCAGGAGAGGAACAATTTACTATAAAGAAAGCTGATAGGCCTAACTGGATTACAAAAACAAAGGCAGTATAGGGCAGATGGTTTGATGGTAGAATGACAAGGACCCCTTAAAGTCATAAAACAGTGGAGGAAATAAACCTCCTTGTGTCACCCTACCCTTCCACCACACTCCCATATCAGTTTACTAAGGGGAGAGCTGCAGATCTAGGGAGGCCACCCAGAGGTGATTACCTAGGTGGACCTGGGCCAGTAAAAGACATTGATCTGCCACCACCATGACCCCCATTAAGGCTTCCTTCTAGGACAGGAAACCTTAACTTGGAATCTCAACTGTATAGCTACTGCCATTAGATGTACAGTTGACAGGTTATGGTGGACCAGCCTGGGAATCTTCTTTGTCTGAGGGACCCTTGCTTATCAGTACTTGCCAGCTAACTGGAAGGGCGTTTGTACATTAACATTCCTCACCCCAGATAAGCATAGTACCTAACAGTCAGACCTCCCCCCACACACACACACTGTACCTTTAACGGCTCATATGCGGTTGAAGAGAGCTATCCAATTCATACCTTTATTAATCGGACTGGGGATAATGACTGGGAAAGGAACAGGCATAGGAGGGACTGCCTCATCAGTTGCCTACTATAATCAATTATCTGTGGACCTAACAAATGACATAGAACAAGTGGCTAGGTCTATAGTGACCATGCAGGACCAGCTGAACTCTCTAGCATCAATGGTCCTCCAGAACCAGACAGGGTTGAATTTACTCACTGCCAAAAAGGAGAGCTTTGACTTTTCTTAAACACAGAGTGTTGTTTTATGTAAAGCAGATGGAAATAGTCAGAGCCGTGGCTCATTCCAGTACCTGGCCTCTCCTTATGCTTCTATTGGCACTTGTGTTTGCATGTGCCTTCTTAACGCCATAACTAAACACAATATTGGTCTTTGGGACAAAAAAAAACCTTATAAAATTTCTAAAGTCTAGTGTTGATGCTTGTCCACAAGTGGAAAAAGCATCAAAAGGGGGGATGAAGAGGAAGATAGCCTTGAAACAGGGTTGTAAAACATGGTAAACTGTCAATTAAAAGCTATAACCTCAGACAGAGCTGTGAGAAATTGCTCATTAGAGCCATGCAAGAGTTCAGGACCAACATGAAAGACATCATGCACAGATAAGCACCCATTCCTGCCTTTCTTTGTCTCCACTTGTAAATAAACTTTCCAAAGCAGGACTCCCCTGCTGTTCTTATCTAAACCTTAGATCTCTAACCCACTACTAGCCCTACTTTATGGGAGAGCACATTCCTTGTAACCTGATACCCTGCACTGCCTTTTAAATATCCTGTGAATCCTTTGTTCAGGGCTCAGACACAGGTACACGTCTGGGCCCGCTGGCGTAAAATTAAAATCTGAGTTCTCCACTCCTCTGAGTGTCGCTTGGTTTCTCCTGACTATATTGCCACAACAGTATGAGGTGTCCTCTACCACTTTGGTTAGGTTTTTTGCAGTTACATGATTGGCAGTTACCCCATAGCTGATTCCAGCAAGGGCTGCAACTAATGCTGTTATCCCTAAAACTATTAGAGTAATCTCCCTTTTATCCCTGTGGGAAGCTGTTCCTGTTCATTGGGAAAATTCAGTTTGTTGTATTATAGTACTATTCCAAAAAGAGATATGTTCAGGATTAGGTATTAGTTGGGCAATTGCCCAATTTCCTCTAGTATGGTTTGGGTGTAGACATGGCAACCCCCATACCTGGTCCTTTTTCCATGACCTCCCTACAAAGAGATATCCTTCCTCGCGGCATAAGATACCTTGGGTGTTGTTAGCCTGGGCCTGGGAGGTGTCTCCTGGAAACAAGTAGTCAGAGACATTAAGGCTGCTGGTAAAAATGGAGATGCAGGGGGTGGAAAGGTAGAGTTACACAGCTTTCCTAATCCCATTGTATATTTCATTAAGATACATCTGTGATGGCCAGTCATAGTATGCAATAAGAGTTTTTACCAGTGAGGTTTGAGGACTCGTTTAGCCCAGAGACAAGGCTCCCATTACAAGCACTAGCCCTAAGCATATCGGGACTCATAAAAGTGGGGCTCTTAGAGTTATTCATACAGCACCAACTGGCAGTGAGATGATAGTCACCTTTAAGGGTGGTGAAGTCAAAAATGTCATTTTGGGATGTAGGCCCTAGGTCTCTTATTGTCGAATGACAGACTGGCATATAGCTGTCTGGGACAGAAACGTTAAACATCCAAATTTTCATCTGAGAAATGAACCCAAGCCAAGAGTAAGACATAGTAGGCTGGTTCTTCCATGGGACCCCTGTAAGAGGAACCATGGCATAGGAGAAATTGTCTGGCCTGAATATCAATGAAGGGAAGGGACCCTGAGTGAAGTTTAATAGGACCCATGCTGGTAGGTGAGTGGCTATTGGGCTCTCATAGCAAACCCAGGAGTCTTTCAGTGGAGATTTTGGAAGGGTAAATGCTCAAGAGAGATTTAAGAACCCATTGGTTTTCCATAAAGGGCTGTAGTTCTTCCCATATAGGGGTGCTAGTGTACGCAAAAGACCAAGCCCCATAGTAATATAGTTAGCAAATAAAAGGAACATGCTAATCTAGCTAGGGGGGAGTTAACCCTATTTTTAAAGTAATTCTAAGCAGAATGAATAGACTGATTGGGAGGTTTGGATAAAGAAGGCTTATAAAGGTGACTTAGCTGTATCTGTAGACATTTTCTTTTTGAACAGCAGTTTTAATCCATCCAAAGGTTCACATGAGAAGAAGGCAGGCTCCAATTCTGGGTCTGGAGGTGGAGATGTGATGTCTGCAGAGGAATTCCAGCTCTTGATTCTCGAGTGATGGATCCAGGAATCCAGGCCAGCCACTCGCACTGCCGTTGGAGTAGACAGAATAACTAGATATGGCCCCTTCCAGAATGGATTATTTAAATCCCGGGTTGGATTTGGAGACTTTATTAGGACTAAGTCACCAGGGCAAAAGAAAGGGCGTCCTTTATATCCTCCCTGGGGGAGTCTTGTTTGATCTCTGAGAGTGCTTGTTGGAATTTAGCAAGTTGAGTGACATGGGAAATTAACTGAGCTGTCTCTTTGTCAAGAAGGAGGTCATTGGTCAGGAAGGGCCTGCCATATAGAGATTCGAAAGGGATCAGTCCCTGCTTGCCTGGAGTGTTTCTGAGCCTGATGAGAGCAATAGAGAGGAGCTTGGTCCAGGGGGAGTGGGTTTCTTGGGTCAATTTAGCCAGGTGTCTTTTTAAAAGTTCACTTGTTTTTTCTATCTTTCCAGATGACTGGGGGCGCCAGGCACAGTGGAGGTGGTATTCTATGCCTAGTGCTCTAGAGAGTCCCTGAATTACTTCTGCTTTAAATGCAGGCTCATTATCACTTTGAAGGCTTTTGGGGAGGCCAAAGCAAGGGATTATTTCTGTGATTAGAATTTGGACCACCTCCCTAGCATGTTCTGTACTGCAAGGAAAAGCCTCCAACCACCCAGTGAATGTATCCACAAATACTAACAGTAGTTTTGACTTTGGTCCCCCTGGCATATGGGTGAGGTCTAGTTGCCAGTCTTCCCCAGGATAGGATTTCTGTCTTTGTGCCCCTGGCACCTGGAGACTCTTATTATTGGGATTATTTTTTTGACAGGTTTCACATCCCAGTACAACTTGTTGGACAGTATCCCTTAATTTAGTTCCCCCAAACATTTTATTGACCAAAACCAAAGTATTGTCTAAGCCCAAATGGTAGAGTTGGTGGAGAGACTTAAGAATTTTCCATTGGAGTGCCTCAGGGAGCCATAACTTTCCTCTGGGTGACACCCACCAGCCTCGGTGATCTAACTTGTACCCTTGCTCTGAGGCTTGTTTATGTTCCTCTGACCTATATAGTGTGGTCTCTCTGGGGAAAGGAGAGTCCTTTCCCAGAGGAGAGGGCCAGCTATATATTCCTGCATGGCTGCCCGTTTAGCTGCCTTATCCGCTGCTTTGTTTCCCTTTGCTATCTTATCTTCCCCTTTTTGGTGACCTTTACAATGAATCACCGAGACCTCTTTAGACAATAGAACAGCATCTAGGAGGGCTAGTATGTCACTAGCATGTTTAATCGGAGAGCCTGTTGTAGTTAGCATTCCCCTTTCCTTCCAGATGGCTGCATGAGCATGCAGGATCAGGAAGACATACTTAGAATCTGTATAGATGTTGACTCTCTGTTCTTTTGACAGTCTTAGGGCTTTTGTTAGGGCCACTAATTCTGCCAATTGAGCACTTGTATTAGGAGGTAGAGGACCTGATGTGAGGGTCCCAAATTCTGTCACAACTGCAAACTCTGCATGTCTGACACCATTCTTGACAAAGGAACTGCCATCAGTGTATAATTCTAGATCTGGGTTTTTTAAGGGCTGATCAGTTAAGTCAGGTCAGACAGCATAACTTTCCATAAGTACCTCCTCACATGAGTGTTCAGGTTTTCCCTCTGCCTCTGGTGGAAGGGATGCAGAATTTAGGCTCTGACAGGTCCTTGAAGTTATTTCTGTCCCTACCAGAAGCTGGGCCTGATATTTAAGTAGACGGCTGTCAGATAGTCAAAGTTCTCCTTTTGAGTTTAAAATTCTCCCTAGGTCGTGTGGGGTATAAACCATTAGGGGGGTGGTTTAGGATAAGTTTCTGAGCTTCAAGCACTAGAAGCTTACTGCGGCCATTGCTCTAAGGCATCCGGGCCATCCCTTGGCTACCTGATCTAACTCTGCTTAAGTAACCTACTGGCTGGGGAGTGATGCCCCAGAGCTGAGTCACCATGCCCAAGGAGAGTCCTCCCTTTTCATAGACATATAATTATAACTTGTCTTGTACTGGGAGACCCAGGGCGGGAGCCATTATAAGAGCCTTCTTTAACTGTGGAGTGCATTTTCTGACTTGTAATCCCATTCAATAAAGGGCTGGGTATCCTTCTGGGCTTCCTTAAGGATTTGATATAAAGGCCTGGCTAGATCTGCATATACCAGGATCCAAATTCTACAGTATCCTGTGACCCCTAAAAAGGCCCTCAATTGTTTTAGAGTTTTAGGTAGAGGAAACATCAGGATTGGACAGATTCTGTCTTCTCCTAGAGACCTCATTTCTTTCTCCAGGACAAGACCTAAATATGTAACCCTAGACTGACACAGTTGGGCTTTTTCTTTAGAGATCTCTATCTGCTAAGAAGTTTAGTAAGGACTCAGTGGCTCGTGAAATGACAGGCTCACTTGGTCCACAGAACAGGAGGTCATCTACATATTGTAGCAGAGTAGCTTGTGGATATTGCCATTCTGCCAAGTCTTGGGTTAGAGCTAACCCAAAGAGGTGGGGGCTGTCTCTGAATCCCTGGGGGAGGACAGTCCAAGTGACCTGTCCAGACTTTCTTGTGGGGTCCTCAAAGGCAAAGATAGATTGACTTTTAGGGTGTAAAGGAATGCAAAAGTAGGCATCTTTTAAATCCAGGACAGAGTAGTAAGTAGTACCCGGAGGTATTTGGGCTAAAAGCATATAGGGATTTGGAACTACGGGATGAAGAGGCACTACTGCTTCGTTGATCAGGCGGAGATCCTGGACTAACCTCCATTTGTTAGGTCCCTTCCTGACACCGAGAATAGGAGTATTATATGGGCTGGAGCATTCTATTTAAGTCTTTGATTATGGGAATTAGCCCCTCCTTAACTTCTGGCTTTAAAGGATATTGTTTTTGATGGGGAAACCAGGAGGGGTCCTTGAGATGAATTAGGACTGGGGCAGCTGTTCGTGCCCATCCCACAGTGTGTCCATCCATCCACACCGTGGGGTCTACTTGTTCCTCTATTAGGGGCAAGCAAAAGTAGTCTCCTGGGGGTAAAAGTAGCTGTACCCCTAATTTGGATAGAAGGTCTCACTCTAGCAAAGGAGTAGGGGTTTCTGGGACAATTAAAAAGGAGTGACAGAAATGGAAATCTCCCCAGGAGCAGGCTAAAGATTGAGTGAAATAACGCTCTAGAGGCTGGCCTGAACAGTAATTTTCTTGGAGGACCTGGGTCCAGGAGAGAAAGGAATAGCTGAGATATTGGCTCCAGTACTGATAAGGAGGCTGACCTTGTGCTTAATTTGGGGCTCTTCTGCTTTTATGGTGGTCAGAGAAGCCTGTATGGGAGGCCCCGGGACCCATAATTGGGTGGGAGGTTCTGACCTCGGTTCCCCTGAGAACCGGGGACAGTGTGCCTTTCAATGTTTTCGCCAACACATGGGGCAGGGTCCCGGAGGTAGCTTTCTCTGGGGGCACTCCCCCCTAAAATGGCCTTCCTGTCCACATTGAAAACATGTCCTCGGGTTTGGATTTTGCTCCGGGTTAGCCTCTCTGAGCGCTGCGATCAGAGCTTCCTGCCACTTATCCTTTGTCTTTTCCCTTTCCAGGTCCTTCCTTTCTTTTTCTTAATCCCTGTTATAGTATACAGATGTGGCTACACGGACCAATTGGTCCAGGTCTCTGCTCCCTTCAGCCACCAATTTCTGAAGCTTTTTACGGATATCTGGTGCTGACTGTGTTAGAAACTTATCTTTTAGGACGATTTCCTCTTCCTGTGACTCTGGTATAATGTTGGTATGCTTTTGTAAACCATCCTTAAGTCTCTGTAGGAAAGCTACTGGAGTTTCTAAGAGTCCTTGCTGTACAGCTGTGACTTGGGAGTAATTTTAAGAGGTTTTACCTTGGCTCCTCTTAGATCCTCAAGAATGCAGTGGATGAAATGGCTACAACTCCATTCATCCTTGTCATTTTCAGGGTCCCACTTAGGGTCATACCTAGGCACTGCCTGATCTCCTGTTGGAATTGGAAATTGAGGCTCCCTTCTAGGTATCCAGTGCCTTTGTCTTTCTTCTTCCTCTCCCTCCTCCTGTGAGGGCCCAGTATGAGACAGGCCTGTAGGGCCGCTTTTATCTAAGTGATAATTGTCTCCAGCTGTGACTGTCTGCTCTAGAACCCGCTGTTTCTCCAGAGAAGTGAGGGTCTGAGATAGCAATAGCATCACATCTTTCCAGCTCAGTTCAAAGTTT